CCCCAAAACCCCAAAACCCCAAAACCCCAAAACCCCAAAGCAAACAACACTAGTTGAACCCTAATTTATAAGCAGGTTACTTAGCAATTTTAATTATGAGTAAAAATACCATCAAGTATGTCTATTTTGTTGGAGAAGCATACTTCTGATCCTCTCAAAAGTCTAATGCTTGGTGCTTATCAGTCAAGTGAAATAGTTAGTACTTAACTTGTATGAAATAAACTTATTTGTAAATCCATACTTTTGGAGAGTATCTCCAAAAGTATCCTCAGAGAGACTTCAATCACGCATTCAAATTTTCTTCAAGCTCTTCTTAAATGCTGCACTCCTGGAAAGCGACGAAACAAAATTTTCGAATTCTGGAAAGTTATTAGCTCAATCTCTAAGGCTAGATTTTCCACAACCTGCAAGATACAGCTTTGAAATTTTGCATTCGTTCAAAATATTATCAAACTTCAAAATACCTGTGAGGCTTAGATTGCAATTAATGAATCCTAGTTCCTCTTTCATTCTGTTAAGATACAAAAGACTATCATTCCCAATCCATTGAAAAGCACATCAACAGGGACGAACTCAGAACTATGAAGAAAATAGAACTTATCTATCTTTCTGGGGAAAATTTTTATTAGAAAATTATGAACTAGGCCTATTTGAGGTGTCGATATCGAGTCAATATAAAGTCTAAAGAGGTTTGGCAATCTTTTGTTCAATTGCTTTAATAAATACCAATGCCTCTTGTTTTAAGTGCTAGAGATTTAGTTGAGAGTCTTTAAGCTCAAATCAACTATTGGTACTACATCATAAAGAGAAGAAGCAAATTTTTGAAGATTTACTTGTGTTGTGAGAAAGTTTAGCTCTTGAATTGAGAAAATTTATTTTGTAGCTCATACTTCTGCTGTATAAGATTCTTTTCAATTTGAGCTTGATCTAAGCCAACCATAGCTAATCCATATTTTAGATCAAGGTTAGATATCCTTGCATCCTTTTTCTTGCTTTCTTCTTTCAGAAAGGCTCAATTATCTTGGAGTCTTTCAATTACCTCTATGTAATATTGTTTTGTGGTCTCCAGATCTTTTTGGATATTTTTCTTTAGATCAAATATTTTTGCGTTATGATACTTCTTTCAGTTTTTTATTTCTTGTTCATGCTTCTCTTTACACTGTTCAAGTTTCTGTTTGTATGAGTGTTTGCACTCTTTTAGCTCTTGTTTGCCTTGGGCTTCTAGTTCAGATATTGTCTTTTTATATTTATCTTCCCTTTCTTTAAGTTTCTTTATTGACATTTTATTTTCTTCGAGTTTATGTTCAAGCTGATTAATTTTATTCGTGTTTTCTCCAAGATCCTTTTTAAGCTGTCTGATTTTTTGTTTCTTTTTGGCCAATTTGTGTTTAACTTTCTTCACTTCTTCATCTCAGATTAATTTCTCTTGTTCTGTTTGCTCCAAGACCCGATGTCTTTGTTGTTGTAATCCAGCTGAAGTTGCTTTAAGTAATTTATCATACTTCTCCTTTAGTTCAACTTTAATGAACTCAGCACTCTCCTTACCAGAACCTTCAAGTACAGCATAAGAATCTTTCCAGCTCTTGGCTGCAGAATGCTTCATGAATATTTGATCGTTCATCAGAAGATCTTTTAGTTGCTTGGCTTCTTTGGAGATATAATAAAAAGAAGGGAAATCATGCTTTTCTATAGCTCTCTGTAGCTTATTAATAATGTCTTCTCTGCCTTCTACAAGAGTCGAGTTCAGAGCACTGTATTCAGACTCAGGGCCGAGGTAGCCGAACACCTGTGGGGATATTAGTAAGTCTTTCCTGCATTGTTCGATAACTTTGAGAAGTAATTTAGTCGATTCAGGACTTTCAAGAGGGATAGAGTTGTGGTTGAAATATGAGTATTCAGTATCTCTATGCAAAGTGCAGGCGTATATTTCCATACTAGGTATGTAATGCTGGGATTGGCTCTTGCAAGAACTCGCTTCTCAGTTTGGAAATTTCATATTTATTATAAATCTTAAAAAATCGCTGAAATTTATAGCCTTTCAGTCCCGACATATGATCTGGGGTTTTGGGGTTTTGGGGTTTTGGGGTTTTGGGG